GGAGATCCCTCTGGATATATGCCCAGGAGTGAGGTTGCTGGATCATATGGTACATCTGTTTTTAGTTTTTTGAGGAATCTCCATACTGTTTTCCATAATGGCTGCACCAAACTACATTCCCACCAACAGTGTAGAAGGGTTCCCTTTTTTCCACACCTTCTCCAGCATTTATAATTTATGGACTTTTAAATGATGGTCTTCTAACTGGTGTGAGGTGATAATACCTCATTGTAGTTTTGATTTGCATTTATCTGATAGTGATATTGAGCATATTTTCATGTGCCTATAGATCATTTGTATGTCTTCATTGGAAAATTGCTTGTTTAGGTTTTCTGCTCATTTTTGGATTGTGCTGTTTATTTTTTGTTATTAAGTTGTATGAGCTGTTTATATATTCCAGAAATTAAGCCCTTGTTAGTCACATCATTTGCCAGTATTTTCTCCCATTCTATAGGCTGTCATTTTGTTTTGCTTATAATTTCCTTTGCTGTGTGAAAGCTTGTAAGTTTAATTGTGTCTCATTTGTTTATTTTTGCTTTTATTTCTATTGTCTGGGTAGACTGCCCTAGGTGTCAGAAATTGTTTTCCCTATGTTTTTTTCTAGAATGTTTATAGTGTCTTCTCTTATATTTAAGTCTTTAAGCCATTTTGAGTTTATTTTCATGTATGAAGTGAGGGAGTGTTCTAACTTCATTGACTTACCCCTGTCCAGTTTTCCCAGCACCACTTGCTGAAGAGACCTTTTTCCATTGTATATTCTTGCCTCCTAAACAAATACTTCTTGAGGACCTACTAGGGTGAGTCCTTGAGGATGAATAAGACTATGTCCTGATTCTCAAGGAGTCCAGAAGTAATGTAGATTTAGATTTCATTTTACACCCACTCTGGCCCCTCCCCCATTGTTAACTGACAAGGTTCTTGGGTAAGCAAAATTGAAGGAATTCAGGATGGTACACACAGGATCATTAAGTTCTCCAGGAATTCCCCTTGTGCTAGTCTCTATAAAATAGACTATTTAAGAATTGATTTGCTTCACACATCTTGATGAATAATTATTGAGATAAGATGTATTTCTCTGAAGTGGAAAATATTGTCTATATTTCCTGCTGAAATTGGCTGATAACAGTTTCAGTAGCTGCTCAAATTCTTGCTGATTTCTCCTGAGTGGATCCTTCAGTTTTGATGGCTTTCGTTTCATAACCATTTTAGTTTCCTTTGGAGAATCTATTACAAGCAAAATTACTTGTTAATATTAGAATAATTCCTTATTCCACTTGGAAGGGAGCTTTCTGCTGATCCCATTTCTTTTATCCATCTAAGTATTAAGAAAGCACAGAGCCTGCCCTAGAATTGTAGAATTCATCTTTGGAAAACTATGAAACACGGAATGTTTCTATTGCCTCATGGGAATTCAGTGGGCGCCTCAAAACACTGTTTTTATTACAGGGAATTTCCTGTTGTTTCCTAAATTAAAGCATGGGTTTTCCTCTTAAACCAATAACTTACACAAGTTTTTTCCTTTAACAATTTAATTATGAAACAGCATTTCTTTAGTTTTGTTGTTAGAAGATTCAATACTTATTTTAAGTTTTTTCTATTTGAAATCAAAACAGCTATTTGACTTACTCACACAAATGGTAAATTGTGAATAAAAGAAAGCAAATTAGGAAACAAACCAAGCCAAAGAAACACACAGTTGTTGTTTTGGCAGTTCATGCTGCTATCCCCCAATCTTTGCTCATTGCAATTGTCACTTCTCAAGCACTGCTGTTTTCTTAAATGGGACATAAAGAAGGTTCTGCACCCAATTATGTCATGGAGATTTTTCACCACCACCAAATATTGTCAGACACCAGTTGGGTATCCTACAATTGAACTCAATTCTGACATTATCTAGCCAGAGATGGAGTCACCTCTCACAGGTTAAAGGCTTAGTCCTACAAGACTGCTATCACCTGTGCTTCAGATTGGCAGTAAATTGGAGGTGCCAATGACCCTCTCCTTGGATTTGATAAATTTGATAGAGCAGCTCACAGAACTCAGATAAACATTTTACTTCCTAGATCACTAGTTTATTATACAGGGATATAAGGCAGGAGAAGCCAGATGAAAAAGATACACAAAGGAAAGTATGGGGAAGGGCTTGAAGTTTCTATGCTCTTTCCAGGCTCCACACTCTTCCAGCACCTCCATGTTTTCAACAACCCGGAAGCTCTCCCAACACTCTCCTTTGGGGCTTTTACGGAGGCTTCATTACACAGGCATAATCAGTTAAGTCACTGACCACTGGTGATTGATTCAACCTCCAGTTCCTCTCCCTTCCCTCAGAAATCAGAGTGATAGTGAAAGTTCCAACCATCTATTTATGGTTGGCTCCCCTGGCAACCAGCCCCCATCCTTAGGTGCCTTCCAAAAATCATTGCATTAATATAAACTCCAATGTGGTTGAAAGGGACTTGTTATAAATAACAAAAGACACATTACATATATTAACTTATATAAGTTAGAGTTTCTCCATCCTTTCCCAGCTTTCAAGGAGAAAGGATTTAAGGATGACTTAGATTCACTAATGAGTTTTTGTCGTGCTGATAGCAAGAGAGGTATAGTGGATTGGAAGGATCTAGAGAAGTTTAAACTTAGATGCATAAGAGAATGCATAGGGACTCAGTAAGATTAACATATCTTAGAAGAAGCAGCATTTGGAGGAGCTTTTCATTTTCTATTTCAAGGGAAGGACAGGAGGAAATGGAGAGACGGTAAGCAGTTGCCATGACGTGGCATTTTAGGAAAAGTATTGAATTATAAGGAGTTTTGGGAAGTTTTTCTGTGTGCCTTACAATGTAATTTCTCCTTTCCTTTCTACTTATGAGACATTCAGGAAAGACTTATCTTACTTTTCT